ATACAAGCGACAACACCGAGCGGCTCGCGGCGAGTGTAAGCGAAGCGCTGTGTCGGGCCACCGGGTAGGTCGATCTGGTCACCTGGAGTACGGGTAATACGAAAAGCTGTTCTATCTAATAGGACAGCACTTCAAGAAGGAAAAATTTAACCGAATTTCCTAAAGCTCTGTCACCAACAGCAACTTCCAACCGCACCTATCCCAAATATTGTTAGACGTATAACCGAGTTCTTTTACATCCTACTTGTCCAGCTTGAAGAGGAACTGGCAACAGCTTCGTCCGCCTGACAGGGTTGGACTTTAGTACACTTATGTGTCGAACACTCACTGCTCAAAGTGGGGTTCGACACGTAAGTGTATCGATACAAGAAGGCACGGTTTGCTTGACGGTTCACAAAGCCTAAGAAGAAAGAGTTGCTCCCTAATAACGCCTTCGCCATTATCGTGCTTCATGAGTTTTAACATCGAAAAAGGTCAGTTACTTTTCATTGTGAATTGAGGGAACTATTCATACCACGGTTTTTTCAATAGCTGTTCATTAGTTAATGAGGGCTCAAAATTGGACCCTGTCTATTGCGAAAAATATATTGTGTTGTTAGCGATACGAAGTTGATTCAGGGATAGTGGAGTTATATATTCACTAAAGAAGGACAATTCTTGAAAGATCAAGGGTAATTTCGCATCATTCCTTGAGCAAGATGAAGAGTTCACAGTTTTATCGTTTGGACTTAAAGGTAGCGATCCACTTAGAACGCCAAGCATTTCTATCAGGATCTACCGATGGCGCACAAACTAGTGGAAATATCTTGCAAATTTTGCTCTTTTTTATCCTAACTGAGGCATCGCTGCCATTTGCAGGATATGATAGGAATATTTTCACAAAGCTCAAGTGTTTAGTAAAACTCTTATACCTTGAAGTACCGCGGCAGCGACACCTCCGTAGAAGTCAAAGGTGTCCGCGGATGACTCAATGTCCATTCGGGCTTCATGAATTGCTTTTCCATTAGTCTTCACTTCCCATCGAGCAATATCTTCGAGATTCTCCTGAAGTACGCCAAATTTATCTTCTGGTCTTCGGCACAGAACAACATTAGTGTCAGTTTTAAAGGAGGATTCCGTGAATAAGGTCGGAGGCCGAAAAAGTGAAATATCCCTAATAGATAAACAGGTGGACCTTTAAAGGTGCGGGTTTCGCCGGGTATGGTAAGGGTATGCCTTCAACGGTCTTGTAGGGCCATACTCGCGCCGCTGCCCCTCCCCCCCCCCTTCACCCCATCCCCCCTCACGCTGATACACGCTTAACGCGAAAATCAACATGCAGAAAGAGTTCTCCTTTCTCGTGTTTCATGCCATTTTTCTTGTTTTTTGTTCATCACTGCATCGCTGACTATTGTATTTCTATATTGGTTCGCACTTGGCTATCTTTTCATCGTAAACTCCGCCTTCAAAGAACGCCAGTCAGCAAGGTTTCTCAGGTCAGAGATAAATACTGAAGCATAGTTCGTTAGGAAACATTTGATCAGAAACATACTCATAATTTTTTGTTTGTCAGGGTTTAAATATCTGGTGGATGGCGTTAATTAACAGTGTAGTGTGCACCGCGCATCCGAACCCCATTCCTTAGCACATAAACCGAATGCGTGGATGGCTAAAGAGTAAGCTGAGGGGTGAACTGATTAGAACCTATTCTGTCATAAAGTAAAGATTCAAGAATTAGTAAGAGGGAAATGAAAACGTGGTCGACCTGGTCATGTCGTGGAAGGATCTAACAGGATCACCACATACTCACATAAAATCAGTTATCCCTTGATTTCCATGGCTACTGCGAAGTTTTGTCACGACAGGGACAGAGAGCTGAGCCGAACTCCCCCAACGCGCAAAAGTCACCATCAATTGCTGCGAAAACATTAAAACTGCCAATAAGCTGCATTCCAATGCAGTCTTTATTAATGCAAGGAGCAGCTAAGCAGATGTAACCTAACAATGAGTATAGCAGGAATGAAGATGGGCGGGATTTCGCTTTTCAGCTTTACTCCGAAACGATAGATAGCTGCTTATGCGAAAAGGTCCAAGTCAGGATGGTGATGAGCGAAATGATACGAAAAAGCTGAAAAGGAACAGGAACAGTGGATGATGCGATGCGGGGTGCTTTAATGAGAGAAGATGCCTTAGAATCGACGTTATTGGGCACCAAATGCCAGTCCGTACACCCTCGTGAGTAATATCGTATGATCTACGTCTTTTCGAAGTTCTTCATGCTCTCACGATTTATTGTTGGAGAATTTTTCTCTTCGGTGCTAACTATCTAACAAAGATGTGTATAATTTTTGTGTTTGTTAATTTTTTTTTCTAATTTGGCATTCTACTCCACGCTCCTACAGTCGTTCGTTTCACTCCTATCATATCGTCACCCTGGGGTGTCCTTTAGAGGCAAGAATCAAGATTAAACATATGTGGGAATCCCACTCGAATATGGCGTGGGAAGGTGGACTGCAAGTGGAGAAAAAGGAAAGTTCGTGAAACGCGCAGAAAATACGGGCCTTCTTGATCTAAGCTGGCGGAGAAGTCGAAAAGCCACAGAAATGAGAGATAATGTGAAGCTGTGGGGAGGATAAGAGAAGTCAGAGTAGAGAGAATAGCAAATGACACGGCAACAAGTTCACACAGTTTTTGTAGAGCTCCTTGAACGAGAGCACCGAAAAGTAGAAAAAGTTTGAAAGAAACTTCCAGAAGAATACCCCAGACATTTGATAATTGCCAGTTCTTTTTGTTATGCCGTGTAGAGCACTAGTCACTGTGTAGTTCTAAAAAAAGTGCATTTGACCATAAATATAAAAATTACCCG